CTCAGCCTCTAGATCAGATTTGTCATCATCACTATCATCATCATCTGATTCAACCACCACCTTCTTCTTTTTCTTCTTTAGAGAAGTGGTTGTCCTTCTTGGCTAAGCCTCCATTACAAGAGCTAAGGGGTTTGTGGTGTGATGATCCTCAGCACAGGCAACCTCATTGACGAATTTCTTCAGATGTTCATAGAGTGTGCAGAGGTCAATTTCGTCCAAATCTATCCGAGATCTGACATCCTTCACTATTTTTTCCCATGCAGGATGCAGGCTAGATAAAAATCTAATATTCAGTTCCAGATTGGACCTGAATACTTTGATTTTTCTGAGTTCATTTACCAGTTGAACAAGTCTGTTGTAAGTCTCATTCAATGGTTCTCCTGGACCTGCTTTGAAGGAGTCATAAGCGATGAGAATCGTAGTCTTCTTGGTTTTGAGGCTGATGCTTGTGCCTTGTAGCAGCTTCTCTATTTCATCCCACATTTCCTTAGCTGTCTGCATGCTGTCAATGAGAACATAAACTTCATTTGGGATTGCTTGAAGAAGGTATGTTTTGGCCATAAGGTCACCACGAAGTCTGAGCTTGTCAGCTTCTGTGTATTCAGATGGCACTTTCCTCCTTATTTCTGGAAAAATAGGAGGATTATTTTCTGGATCTCCACCAACTGAAATCAAGAGTTCAGCTGGTCCTTCAAGCAATGATTCAAGCATCGCAGCGGAGTTCTCTTTGTGCTCGAGGAAATTAAGGAATCTGTTCCTCCACATTTGATATTCTCCCTTCCTGAGGCTACGAGGGGTACTGCTGTTCCCTTGTGCATTGTATTCTGAAGCCATTGCTGTACTAAACTGACCGTTCGAGAAAATTGATCAAAATATTTTCAGAGGCAGAAAGTCGAAAAATCAGATGTCGAGATCTGAATATCGAAATCTCAGATTTCGATAAAGGAGGCCCGGTATCGAGATTTGGGCTCGAGATTAAGGATCTCGAGATTAGGTATCTCGAGATTTCAAATTTCGAGATGCTGATCTCGAGATTTGAAATGTCGAGAAGTTAATCACTCGAAATCTTAATCTGAGAAGTCAAATGTCGAGACCAGATGTCGAATCCTTAACTCGAAATCAAGATGTCGAAATCCTAGATGTCAAAATCCTCAATGTCGAAATCCTGCAACCTGTAAAAATCAGATAAACAAAATCTGAAGGTAGTTTCCTGTAGAGTAGAATGTCGAGATCCTCGTGTGAAGTTTTCAGCTCGAAAAATGTAGCAGAACCTGTGAAGAAGCAAGATGTCGACAACCCCTACTCGAGATATCTCGAAATCTGAATATGCGTAAAACACAATCTGAAGTATACCCCTTGATCGCTTTGAAAAGGCGATTCTAAAGGTGTAACTTTTACAATTTTTGAGCAAGAAACAAAATTACAGAGCAAAAAATCGACAGTAAGAACAACGTAAACAAAAACAGAGTATTCTGCTGTAGTTCTTCTGATCGGTTCTCGATCGGCTCTGATACCAATTGTTAGTCCCTGTTTCTGTAACAGCAATGAATAATCGATCTAACAAGGAAGATTAAACGTAAGGATGAACATAGAATGAATCAACGTAAAACCTTCTTTGATAAACCGTGAACTCGTACAATAGAAAGATATGCGCGTAAGGCTATGAATAATAAGTACGACGTTAACCTATTCCTAAACCTCGGCTCCCTTTTTATAGGCGAGGTTTAGGTTAGGTGTACCAGGCTTTTAGCCTGTTTATATGGGCCTAACACTTGGCCTGATTTCTATCTAAATCATGCACTAATTAAATACAAGGATTAAATATAAAGCTAATCTATGACCAACTTGATTCACAATTAAATAACTCCAACAATGTGGCTTGCCTACCGGAATAGGCTGCCAACATATGACAACTTGGTATATCTTGAATCTTGATGTTGCTAATATTTGTCCATTTTGTAAGGGTGAACCGGAGACGGTACCACACCTATTTTTTGAATGTCAATGTACAGGGAAACTTTGGAAAAACGTCAAGGACTGGCTCAACATAACAAGGCAAATGACGTCCCTTAGGAGTGCTATAAAGTGGATCCAAAGAGATTGCAAAGGGGCGCACATTCGAGCAAAGGCAACAAGAATAGTGTTTAGCTATACAATATATTGTATATGGCGAATTCGCAATGCAATCCGTTTTGATGGAGCAATTCTAAAATTGGAGGATATGCTTGCACACATCAAGTATATGGTGTACAAAGTGCTCTACTCTCTATACCCGTACCATATGATTAGCTTTTGATTTTGAAACATTTTTTGTCACGACTTGATGGCTGGTTGTTTTGCATCATATATTTTGGCTTTAGAGTTTATGCTTAGGTAGCATTTGATGTTATAGGATATCCATACTTGGATATGCCTCTATTTTTGTCCACATGATGTACATAAACTATGATTACTATATATATATATATATTTACATTTCACCCAAAAAAAAAGGAGTCGTGCAAATAAGCTGGCTCGAACGGCTGACATCCGCCGCAGGGTAAACCACCGCCTCTAAGGTTCCCGACTCAACAGGCCAAGGATAGACAATAACTCTTCCCCGAACACAGCTTACAGCTTTCATCGTAGTGTGCTCTCCAAAAAGCAACTCTTCTCAAAATCTAACTAATGGTGTTTGCTACCGTACGTTTCAACTTTCAAGCTCGATTGTTTCTAAGTGGTTTATTGGTAGCAGATTGGTGGGTCGGATTCGGGTTTAGAATTAAACCGACTCATGTTGTAGAGTTGTTCTAGAGGTGAACTTGATAATGTTTACCAATTTGTTGAACATGTGAAATTTGTTTGCCAATAGTAGAAAAAATTAACAATACTGCCCAATGAATTCTGTTGATTCTTTATTTATTTTTATTGACGAGTATTTTTTACTGGTTGATTGGTTCTAGAAATGTCATAAAAGAAAACTTTATACAGCATAATTTCAACATTGGGAAGTTGAAGAGTCAAGATTTTTGTATTACCAAACTAAAAAGTCAGAAACATTTGTTGGAAAAATGTGTTAAAAATTACATTAAATGCTCAATCTCGGGCAATATTTTGAGTAGAGTCCACTTTCGATTTGGGTCATTTTAAAATGGTTTTAGATTGTCCTTGTTAAGGGCTACAATTCGATATATGGTACATTCAAAACGGATAACGGGTGAATAAGAAATTGATTCTCGAAGTTCACTCGGTTGAAATAAAAAATCTGGGAAAATGATAGGTTTCTAGTGGGATTTATCCCACACCGGAAAACCCAAGGGATTTTCACCCCCTTATAAAGGGAAACCCTCTTTGAAGCAGTTAAGATTCTTAGGTGGAAAGATTCTCTTCACGCGCAGGGGGTGCTGATCAAATCCCAAAAACGGAGAAGAAAAACAGCGACTTGCGTGCGCGGATAACCTACAGACATGAATGTCGTCTGAAAATCTATCATGCAAAGATACGATTTAATTATTGTTGCTTCCCGTTACGGTTTCAGTCTTGAGAGCACTTTTGATAACATTTGAGTGGTTACAATATATATACCCGCACGGGTAGCTCAGTTGGTCGAGTGGTGAGAAATTTGGATTAATGGGCCAAGGTTCGAATCTCCGCAGCGACCGGGTGAAGGTTACAGAACCTGAAATAAGATTGGGCCTCTGGTGCGCACGGGTGTATGAGCCTACTGCCATTCTATTGACTGAGTCACCGTGACTAACCTCCCACCATCCTGTCGGGTCGGGGTGAAGAGGCTCCTGGGATGGGAGATTCCACCTTTTGGATCAATGAGTGGTTACAATATATTCTTACCATATTCATATATTATCAATTCGATACTTGTGTATAGGCAAGAACCACTACGTTGGAATTCCAAAATACATTTATTGCTCTCCTTTTGGCGATGAAAAAATCATTTGTTATGCCAAATAGATTTTACAACTCCCGCCTAAAGCATTGCTACACTATTCCTACTCCGTTTTTATATACTTCTTTCGTTCTTTTTTAATTGCAACATTTCATTTTTCAGATTTGCTAACGCACAAGTTTAAGAGTCCGATTGTGAGAAACTGAAACGCAGAGGGGCTGCCGTGAGCCATCTATCGTCGCTCCCTAGGTCCGCTATTAGGCTTTGTCGCTTGACCCGCTTCACTCGCTTGAAGTTCCCACTTCGGCAGTTCGACGCTTCTCTTTCGTTCTGCACTTTGGAGTTGTTTCTCTTCTTCGGATCAGGGTTGCAGCAATATAATACTACTAAAAGAAAATTGGGCTGCCTACCCATGCTTAGGGGTGGACCGGTTCCGGTTCGGGCTTGGGCCCGGCCGGGCCTGAGCCCGGTCGGGCCTCGGTTCATGAAAGGGGAGGCCCGGAACCGGCCCGGGTAACCCCGGGTCCGGTCCGGTCCGGGTAACCCCGGGTCCGGTCCGGTCCGGGTAACCCCGGGTCCGGTCCGGTCCGGGTAACCCCGAGTCCGGTCCGGGCCTCGGTTCATGTAATTTTTTTTTGGCTTTTGCTAATTAACCCCCAACCCTCCCCCCTCACCCCAAACCACCCCAAACCACCTCAAATGGCCCATCATACCCAGCCCAACCCAAAAACTTAAAAAAATTTCGAACAAAAAAAGAAAAAAAAAAATTGGCCCGGACCGGGCTCGAACCGGCCGGGCCGGTTCACTATTTAGCAGGCCTGGGCCCGAACCGCCTACCTCATCGGGCCGGGTGGCCAGAACCGGGCACCAACCGGTTCACCGGGCCGGTCCGAGCCCGCACAGTAGCGGGCCGGTTGGCCCGGCTTGAGTCCACTCCTACCCATGCTTAGAGCTGGCCCAGAGCAGCGGCAAATGGAATCGGGGAGACGGGGTGTTTGGCCAAGGATTTTGGGCGCAGGATTAGTTAAACGTAGAAGTTGGGCCGGGTATAATACTAATTTTTTGGGTGGCCTTCCAAAATTCCAGGCGCTGTGCGGTTGGACTGGGCAGCCTTGCCCTGGCCCTGGGCCGGCCCTGCTAGAGATTACATAGTCATTACACCAATTCGTAAGTTTCGGCAGAAAACATAACATCCATTTGACAAAACGTAATTGATTAGTGCATGACACAATATCCATAGGAAAATTAGAGTGGGTGTAGTGTTGAAGTGCACACAAAAAACTAAATGCCACCCATGAGCTCATGCCAATAAGAGTTCTGTACTAGCACATTCTACTTGGAATGATAGCCATTAAACAACGATTTTTGCTTTGGGAGATGCACGTGGAAATTGCAAAACTTCTTCCAAAGTTTCATATTTCTGGTCGCCAAACATACGCTCAGCACAAGTGCCTGAAGAGAGGCCAGCATCTCCTTTATGAAAAGCATTTCAGATCTTATCCCATGGAATGAGCTAAGCAGCAAAACGCAAAGTTGTTTGTGTTTTCGAACCGCCCTATGAAGTTTCTTCCAGCGCCCCGATGTAGACTCTATTTTATCTTGACTATCTTCTGTCCACTTCAAAAATGCAAAACAGAAACAGTCAAAAATCAATGGTTCAGCTTAACACAGTAAAACGTTGTTGATTGTGCGTAGTACAATATGAACCAAACGTAGAATATAATGGAAGCAACCAAATTCATACAATAGATTACAAGTATATACTACGTATTACCGAAAGCCTTATTCCAAGACGGAATAGCTTTGGACATATGCGAAGTAGGCTTACAAAGGCAGCAGTCCTACTGTCATCTTGGAAGCGAAAATTTGAGAGCTTTAGCGACTCCACATTTATTGTGGCTGTTTGTGGTGGAAGTACCTTTATAGCCAAAAATTCATTCTTCAAGAAAATATATGGAAATAAAGTGTCATCACTGCAAACGTATATGAAGCACATACTGTATAAAATAAATAGTGTGAAAGTCCAAAAGACGATATCCAACGAAAATACCTTGAGAAAATGATAGTCCAAATCAAGCACACGAATAGATATCAAGTCAGGGGCGAGTGTGGGGAAATTGCAGAACTTGCAATAGAAACAATACTTGATTTTCAAAGTGCAAAGATTTGTAGCAGTGATGTTGAACTGTAATACGTTAGTACACCTCCTAAAGGATAGATTCTTTAGCTTAGGAACTTCAACAGCTTCATATGGGGGATGTGTAAGACCAAAGTTAACATCTTCAAAATATAGTGAGGTAAGATTCAGAAAAGTGCCGTGCAAACAAAATGTAGATACTTCAATAGCAATACCATGAAGATACAAGCTCTTGAGTGTTGAGCACGAAAATATATAATGCGACAACTGGTATGGTTTATGCCCAAAATAAAGGTGGACTTGTTCAACACCTTTACAAGTGACTAAACGTAGCCATTGATCAAAGTCAAAAGACCTAGACCTAATCGTATTTACCCCCATGTGAGATAAATCAATGACAATTTTCCGAATAGTTCCCTTATGCTGCAAGAGAACTCTGTTGATTACATACAAAGCAGGGACTTCATGGCATATCTTCTAAACTGATATTTTTTGTCAAAGTAGCTAAAGAACTGAAGATCAAAACAGAGCTGCGTGAGAGTGAACCAGAGATCTCTCCAAAAGGTAGACAAAACTGCAAACTTAGCAATATCTTGAATAGGCAACAAACCCAAAATATGGTCCAATATATCTTCTGGGAGTTGACTGATTCTATCTCTCCCCGCCATTCCAACTTGGATAGCATTAACACACGGAAATTTATAGATTAAATGAATCAAAAGTTAGAGATGATAAATCCAAATGGGAGAACATGACTAGGACAAGTAAATTAGAAATAAAAACCGACCTAGATAATAAAAACGTTTCTTACTTAGTTCATGAAAGATGCATCCGAATCATATAGATAATGGCCATAATAGAAGAGAAACCGAAAATCTGGAAACAATAGCCTGCAGAATTAATCCAATTATATTTATTTGGAAGGTCTATTTTTGGGGATAACATGCAGGCAAACAGTAGCACACCAGATAAGTTTCGAGGAAAAGCTGACCTGAAACGGGAAAGACGTTTGAGCTTTCGACGTTGTCACGGAGATATAAAATCTCGGTTTGCGTATATCTCGATGATAGTGTATTATGAGAGATAAAAAAACTGGGCGAACAAGATTATTTTGAATTATTTCTACAATACTCCGTATTTGCTAAAAGTTGAATTAAATCTGATTAAAAAAGAATTAATTAAGTATGCTTTTGATCGATTTGGACGATTGGTGTGTAAATAACTACTAGTATTGTACGGTGCGATGCATGAGACAAAAGTGTATTCGTGTTTTTGTTCATAATAATTATTCAACTAAGAATTAAACACATGTATTTTATGTATAAAATAAAACAAATATAAGTTGTTTCACTGAATGCATTTGTAAAACAAACACTTCGAAGACATTAAACATTCTCAAAAATTAAAAAAAGAAAAGACATTAAACAACATTCTAAAAACTTATGATAAAAAAACATTCTAAAAAATTTCTAGATATACAACATTTAATGTGGATGAACTCGAGGTACCATCCTCATTGCATACCAATATCTTTAACCCTTCATGCTTGGCAACTTGGTTTGCCTAGGAAAGTTGCACAAATGGCCTAAAGTCATGGAACACGCATTCCAAAGTATTCGTGATACTCTTGTTACTGAAATATGTGGTAAACTATGCTCGAATAAGCCTCACTCTTAGTGTCCAGTTTGTCCCGGACTTGTTAATCTCTTGTGCTTTGTTGTAAAGCATCTTGCTCACAGTAACCAAAAGAGTTTGTTTATATCGATCTGCAATAGGCTGTGGCCAAGCGTAATTAAATTCTATGTCGAAGCACGTATTTAAAGGATTAAGAGATCGAGACAGTTATTTGAAACTGGAACTCGACGTGTGCAGTGGGTTACCGAACGTGGTGGAAACTGCCCAAGGACATTCTTGCGGTGCCATCTGTATATTATGTGTGTATGTGTGTGACAGAAGGTTTTATCTGAACATTAATTTGTATTTATAAATTAAATTGTGTGATGTTGAACATCATTAACACGGTCTAAATAGTAAGACCTTGTAATTCTTACCCCTTTATTTTAGATGGTGGGCCGACGTGAATACCAAATCTGAACATTAAATATATAGTTACATATAATTATAATTATATTATATTAATAACACTTTATAATAATACTTTTAGACGATAATAGGCACTGTAAAAAAGACAATAATACACTTCATAATTATGTCATGTGTTAACTGTTAACCATGTACATACAGGTGTTATAAGCAAATACGGAGTATTAATTTTAGAATGCTTGCAACGTAATCTCTCATTTGCGACGCATGTCCACTTATTTCGCATGAGACCAGCATATAACGTTCACCACAATGGAATCAGGCGGGAATAGGTTATCCCAGTCGATTCCATTGTTAAATATATAAAGATATATAGAACTTTTTATATACGTTCTTATAAATATTTTTTGTTTTCTTTTTAGGGTTATATACTACTTTTGATTTTTTTGTTTCTGGAACACTATATTTAGCAATCTTCATTGAAAAAGATGCAAAATGTACAACCCTATTTTAATTTTTTAATTCATTTTTTTTATCAATTTTAAGACACATATATGTGAAGTTAAAATTAAGTAACCGTAACTATTAATGTTTTCAAAAAGGATTTTTTCATGAATATTACTCTCTCCGTCCCGTTAAGACTGTTCCATTTTTCCTCTTCAGAAACTCTCACTATGATTTGCTCATACCAATTTTGGTAAAGTTTGTGTGACATTAAATCATTTTTACTTTATTCTTATTTAAACAATTAAATATCAACACATAAACTCACTTTTCTTAGTGATTGTGTCACTACCTCATGTCCCAATATTAGACTGAATTTTACAAATACTTATGTACATTGTATTTTAGTTTTTTTTGCGTGCGATATGATCTTCTATCCTACTTTGATGTTTTATTTTGGATAATCTTGTAATTACCAATCTGGCCATCTCTAGATAGCCTAGAAGCTTCTACCACTCGTATCTATATCTATATCTATATACATATTAACTCACTGAAGTCTTTTTCCCGCTCATGTCTAGGGGCATTTTTGTAAATGCGCTACACATTCTATTATTTCGAATACACTCTCGCACTTGCGTATTTTATGACTCCGGCATCAACTCGCAGAGTGAATAACTCTTCTTTAGTTTTCTAGCTCTTCCCTACTATACCTGGACTCTCAATTATAGCTTTGTTAATTCTCAATGCTTTCAGATTTTTCCGACATCAACTCGAAGAGTCCATCAACACCAAAGGAGTGAAATTCCTCCGAACCCTACCTGATTGTTCCTCCGACATCAAGGGTGTGCTATTGCCGAAAGTCGTACATATGTGGATTGTTCATAACCAGGGAAATTCCTCCGAACCCTACCTGATTGAAATGGTTCTCATTGAAGAAGAGTAACAATTCTTATTAATTCCTTATTATTTACTTTACTTTGCATTGCTTTTGGTTACATTTCTGCAAGTGGCTCTAACGTACCTAGCTCTGTGAATTTGATAACACCAAAGTGATATTGATTCTATCTATCTTTAGGGAAAAATCGATAAAGCATATAAAATCTGCTTGAGTACACATGAATGTATGTAATATACCACTCAAATGAATAAAATACTTAGCTTTTCAACAGATTGTATATCAACCATTTAAAGAATAAAGTAGTTAATAAAGTGTCTTAGCTTCCATAAATTCCTTCTATTTTCTGCAAATATGACTTTATATATTATATTTAATTATACGGTTATACATCAATGAATCACCCTTTTTAATTTATTCAACATTTATACTTATAGTTATTTTTTTATTTCATTGTTACCTACTTGGGCTATGATTTTATGATGAAAAGAATTAAAGAGAAAGGATCTGCATTTTATCTTTTTTGAGTTTCTATGTTGTACCATCATAGTCGAAGAAGTAATTTTCTGAACAGTCTGTTGGTATGATGGAATAAAGCAAAATGGCTCAATAAACTGTCTGCGATTCTTTGTTATAAAGTAGCAGTCAGTCCATGCACTTTTCGACACGATTTTCACTATGGGACATTCTGAAACAGACTCTTTGTGCTTTAGTACAAGGGTAAGACTGCGTACATCCGACCCCCTCACCCCACCGAAGGTGGAAGCCTTTGCGGCATTGGGGTAATGACGATGATGATGATGAAGTCTGTTGGTATTGGTTGTTTCTGTAGAAGACATGGCTTCAGTTTCATCTTATATATCGTAGTTCTCCATTGTTGCCTTTCATATGAACTCTTTCATTACATAGTATAGTAGAGGAAGAAACCTGATGTGGGATAGGTTATTTAACTATTATGGTTTTTTTCGTAATCAGATTATATTTTTCAATGGAGACCTCATCTATTTTTTTAGAGCATTCTACAGCAACAAATTTTTAAACTACATTCACAAGTGCTAGACACAAACACCGCTGAAAGATGACCTGATTGCTAAGACGAAGAGCTGATTAGCAACCAGAAGCAAAAGCTAGAGCGGGTTAACCAAAATGATTAGTTTCTTTTTCATTTTCTCAGTACACATTTAGTTTTCATCTCAACAAATCTGTTTTTTCTCTTTTCTTTTCTTTTTCTGCTAGCTTTTATTCTTTTCATCCTATTTTCTTTTCAGCACATTTAGTATTCATTTTACTGTTTGCCTTTCTTTTTTGCTTCATCTTTTCATGCCGGTAATCATTCTAACTATTTTTATTTGCGTTCATTATTTTAATGGATTAATCTCAATCTGTTTCATCAACTATTATTACAGATTTTGTTTCTTTATTTTTGATGATTAATTTCATATCTAAAATGAGCCCCTTTAATGTAGGATTCAATTTCATATCTTTGAATTTAATTCTTATTATGTGTTAAATATTTGTAATTTTATTTAAGAAAATATTTAGTCATCTCTCAAGTCTCAATGATTATATTGAGATTGGGGGTAAATTGGGTAATAGATTTGCAGGTTGATGGCATACTATAAGTAAGATAAAATATTTTTTGAATGCCTGCTTTTAATAGCTTTTGCATCTAAGAGAATTTATGCATATCACAATAAATAAGTGGATAACAGTGTCAAGGGGTTAATGACCGTGTCAAATTTTGAAAGTTTCTTTCAATAAGGTTAAAGTCAAAGGGTAAAATGTTCATCTAGCTTGCTGGTCGTGCTTAAAGACTATGTATGAGAGATTAATGCTCTGATGCAGCCTGCATGGGGATGGGAGTTGTTGGTATTGCGTGAACACCAATGCCTTTCTTGGCACAATCTCATCTTTATTTGCGACAAAGCTTAGTACTATAGCTATGTAACACCCCAAATTTCCCACCCAAAACAATGATATATTTAAAAGAAATACTTTATTCATTCATCAAAGAGTTGAAGAAATACAGCGGAAGTCTCAAAGGGAAATGAGTGTTACCGCCACATCCGGTCATCTCTTAACCGAATGCACAGGCAAATCAAACAAAACATTAAAACTAATGAAATAGTAAATAAATGTTTATTTCATGACTAAATTTAACTAAGGCATCTTCTAATTCCCACTCAAGCTCGAGCAATCCATCAATCCACACAGGCATCCAACTCATCACCTGATAAAATTTAAGGGAGAAGAGAGAGACAAGAGAAATAACAAAAATTAGCTTTAGAGCTAAGTAAGTACTACCCAACCCCGTAAAATAATCAGGTTTGGTGAAAATAGTTTTTATATAATACTTATATAAAAAGAACTCACTCCACCAAAATTTCTCTTTGATTTTTCTTAAAATTACTTCTTTACTAAAATCCTCAACTTCTCTTCGAAAATCTCTTAGTAATTCTTCTCTTTAAACTTCTTAAGAAAATCACTTCTTCTCTAACTTCCTAGTAATTTAGAAGGGCGGTGCTCAACCTTTCGACTAAGCCCGGTGGACCGTGGTTACGGACGGCCACCCCGAACAAGTGCCGGTACCACAACTGCTCTTGCGGAAACGAAATGACTACCTTAAGTGTGCACACCCCCTAAAAGGGATTCCAAGCCCTCCGAGTAGTAAGTAGTCCCGAGTAGTCAGGACTCAGTCTACCAACTACCCCTGAATAAGATATCTCTGAATGATTAGGGACTACTACT